GTGAAGGAGGTAGCGGGGTTTATTTCCCCGTGAGGAGGTGGCTGCATCTCGTCGCTGCTTTATTTCAGAAGTAGCGAACTGTGCACGTGCACGTGCACGCTCAGAGCGTTTGGGAACCGTGGCTCGTCTGCCCCGGTCCAACGAGGGTGTCCCTCTGCTTTGGGCTGTTACCGGCAAGGCTGGGCTTTTGCTGTGTATTACTATGTACTGTTCACCTGGCTTTCCCTAGATGGAATGATACGTGTTGGTATAAGAGGTTTAAACCAGCAGTTTGAGAATAAGGCAACGGTTCTGTCCAGGGCAGGGAACTGGGGCTTGTTCTCCACATCATTCAGTTTCTCATTTCTGCTGTCATACCATAGAAGCTGTCTCTCATGCTTGCCTTCTGTATTTTTTTCAGGTGCACAGATAAAGCAACTGGTAAAGGTAAGAGCTGAATTACTCCTGCTGTTCTATTCCAACCAGAAAGTCGGGGCTTTCCTATGAAAGTAGCCAAGCAATCCATTGGATCTTCCTATCAAAGAATGTTTTGTGGCTTGATGGCATGCAGTTTCTTTCCAAGGTCTCTCTCAAGACTGTGGAACTGTGATAAGCTGCTGCTAATGTTCGCATGTGCCCGATGTGCAAAAACTTATTCTCCCAAATAACCGCTAGGGTATTACTTCGCAGTCGGAAGGTGAGTCCGCACTGCACCGCACTCGGACAGCCCTGGTTATGCCACAGTCCCGAGTGCATGGCAGAGCCTGGGCTTGGATCTGTCCTGCTGGTGTCACAAATACGGATGTAGGTCCTCAAGAAACATGTGAAAGATACGGGGAAATAAGAGTATTTAAATATTCACACCAGCCCTTTTCTGCCTTTAATCAATGATGGTTCTTTTTTGTCTTTTTTTTTCTCCTTCTGTTGTCAGGCATGAAAGGGAAAGCTTTTGAAGGGGATAGAGTAGCTTAAGGGGTCCAATGAAGAAAGCCCCAACTGTGGGGAGCTGCAACCGGGAGCGGCTTTTGTTCTTCTGTGAACTCTGTGCATCTGTTTTAACAGCTTCTTGCTTCTTACCTGGTGATGATTCCTTAAACGGTTCTGAGTAAAAGGTTTTTTGTAGTGTTTTTTTTATCTGGAACTAGAGAATTGTCACAGAATGAAATAGTGAGGAAAGACGGTCATACACCTGTGCAAATGACTTCACCTTTCTGTCGGAGCTGTTCACTTCTTGTTTGCAGGCAGTTGTGTCTTGAAGGCTGCCTTTACTCTTGTGGTTCTACAGCTCTTTAATTTTATTCCTATGAGTGTATAGCTTTATTCCATTTGGGTGTTAAAAGTCCATCACAGTTCTAGCTGGCAATGTGTATTTTGGCAGACCGAAGCAGAATTAACCGAACTTGTGTCTTTGTACCCCTTACCACATAAAGGATGGGCAGAGTATTAGAAGAGCTTCAGCCTTCAGGGTCAAAGCAAAGTATCTAAAATACGTAAAAGGGCTTAGTGTTGTCCTTTAATACATGCATAGTGTTAAGAACACATTTTAATGGCGATTCCCAGAGTTTTGGATACCCTTAAGCAGAAATGTTTATGTGGTAGTGGTAGAGAACAGGCAGAACGGTCCCATTTTTATCGCAGTTTCTTAAGATGTGCTTGGCAATGGTAGATGTCAGTCTGAAATTTCACGAGTTTGTTGACTCTCTGCACTCCAGCTGTTTTAGACTTTACCTTTTGGCACTGAGAGATTCAGCAGTTCTTGACTGTGAGAATCAGAAAAAGTGTTTATTAAACTTCCTGGGCTCTTCTTTATGGTTAGACTTGCTGCTAAAATGGATGGTGTGAATGTTTGTGTGGAGATTGGCACTGAGAAGTCCAAAGGAAATCTGTTTTGGTGATTTTTTTGGTTTGTTTCTTAGTCTTTAAAAATGTGGAAGTAAGAAAACTGCACTTCTGTGTCCCAGCTGCACAGTTGGGCTTGTTGGGGAAGACACAGAAACAGACTGAAGAAGGCATCTTCCTCGGACAGCTTGTGCCATGTGCGACGGGGCAGCATTCCTCCGTCTCCCCACTCTTTGGCCTTCAGCATAAGATGTTTGCAGAAGCCTAATGAGGTGTAAGCAAACTGCAGCTTTCTTTGCACAGCAGGGTTTGTGGTAGCCAGAAGTGCCCTGTAACTCTGGATGGTGAGACACCATTCATCGTTTCACCCCTGCGTGGATCTGGGTTGAGGAAGAAATCCAGTAAAACTGCTCAGGGGATCTGGTGAAGGCTTTCCATCTAGTGCCAGTATTGGCTGGTGTGAGTTCTGACACACTGTTGGATTCTGCGTGGTGACTTGCGTTATACTGTTAGACTTTACTATAGAATACTAGATCTAGTTTAGAATATTAAGTTTGCGTGAGCTCGGCTGTAGCTGTTGGGCACAGTGTACGGGGAAAAACCGCCTGTGGAAGTGAGGTGTCCCTGGTGGCATATCTGCGTGTCTGTCAGACAAGTGAAAAACTTCCTGCACTGAAGTGTGCTCAGTAAGCTTCGTTACCTTATGTTTGGGATTATATTCTGATATTCTGATATTGCAACTGGTAAAGAAGATCAGAGGTGACGGATGTGATCACAGCCAAGTTTCTGCTATTGGTTATAACCGAGGTGCTGTAACAGTGCAAGTGTCTTGTCGAGTTTTACGCTCTTCTGTACAGCGCCGTGGGGTCAGAGGGCTTTTCTGCTCGCCAGGTCGGGAGCAGAGGCACAAAGGTCTGACCGTGCGGGTCTGATGGGAAGTTTATGGGAAGGTTAAAGTCAAAGATGTGTATCGTGACAGAATTAGTGTGCAGTTGTTACCGTATTAGCGTGCGGGAAGGCAGTTGCAAAGTCAGCCGTACTGACTGTATTTCCTGTCTTGTCTGCTTAGTCATGCAATTGCAATATTTTCCCAATGCGTTTCTTTAGACATAGTAGTTACATAAGTAGAACATTTAATTTTGACTTATAAATGAATCCATGTAGCTAGAGTGAGGCTGTGTAGTGTAATTCACATTTGACTTCCCGTTGCACTGTATATTCTTCTGGAAACAATTTTCATTTTAGTTAGGCCTGAATAGTTTTAGTTATTGGAATACAGAGTTAATGAATGCACTTTGTGTCCTTCCGTCGCTGGATTGAAAATTCAGTGCTTACTGTGACTCTTAAAGTCACGTTAACAGTCAAAGAAACCCTGGTTTTCTGATTTAATTTTACCCTCAAACCGGTTTCTGACTGTTTATCTCTTTGTAAGACTTTACCTTGGCTGTTCAGTAACCATTTTTAAGAGGTTGAACGAAATCTTTCAATCTGTAGTTCAGAAAACAGGTTGTGTAGCTGTTCTGGAGGGAGTGTTGGAGCAGTGACTGAGTGTGAAGATGCCAGGTTGGTGCTTAGTGGAAGAGCCCCTGCCTTACCATGTTTCAAAAATGCTATATGCTTTGTCTTTGCAGTTTTAGAGCTGCAGCTTGCAAGAAGATTACTTTTCCTGCAGTAAGAAGAAAGAGGGTGGGGTTAGAAGAATTTGTACGAATGTAATACGCTGTGAATGAACGCTCAGATTACTGAGCTTCCGTGTCTGATGTTGCTCTGTTTGTGTCACGCAGCTGAAACACACTTCATGTGGACCCGTGTTGATGCTAGGTATTTTTCTTGCGTGTTTTCCTCCTGCAACTTTGCATTTTTTGCAACTATGAGATCCAGTGTAATTCTTTAAGTGCATGTTGGTACCCAGCTGTGTGGTTGCGCTGTTAAAAGGTGGAAAGAAGAGTTTGTTGGAAACGTAGAACAGGGCCATATTTATTTACTTAAAGCTGTGACCAAAAGACGTCACAGAATCCTGGAATGATTTGGATTGGAAGGGACCTCAAATATCATCTAGTTCCAGCCCCCTGCCATGGGCAGGGACATCCCCCACGAGATAAGGCTGCCCAGAGCCCCAGCCAGCCTGGCCTTAAAAACTTCCAAGGATGAGGCTTCCAGCCCCTCTCTGGGCAAACTGTGCCACGGTCTTCCCACTCTCCTTCACAGTGAACAACTTCAGCCTTATATCCATCTTAATCTACCCTCTTTTTGTTTAAAACCATTGCCTCTTGTCCTGTCACAACAGGCCCTGATAAAGAGATTTCCCCTATCTTTACTGCAGACTGGCTGTAGTAAGGTCTCCCCAGAGCCTTCGCTTCCCCAGGCTGAACAAGCCCAGCTCTCTCAGCCTGTCCTCATAGAAGTGCTCCAGCCCTCTCACCTCCTCTGGACTCGCTCCAACAGCTCCCTGGCTTTCTTGTGTTGGGGTTCCGGAGCTGGGCGCAGTGCTCCAGGTGGGGTCTTACAAGGGCAGAGTAGAGGGTCGAAATCACCTCCCTCGATGTAGTGCCTTGTGCCTGGAGAGTCACCTCCTTGGAAGTCTCTTCTCAAATGAAAGTTGTTTTGCACAGTGTGGACTGGAGGATGGTGCGAGCCATATTTACATACTTGTTCATACGCCGTTACAGAAACAGTGTGTTAGAAGCAGTCGTGTGTGTGATATTTTGATGTTTACACGTGGAGAACTATCTTTGGGATTCATTCTGTGATATTCCCGCCAGTCTTCTGATTTTCCCACCAGTCTTTCCATACAAGGCTACTGTAAGGCACGCTGTGGGTGGCTGGTGTTGCCGCCGTTCTCCCACCGCAGTGGCTTTCCAGCTGCAATTCAAAAGCTTAGGGGAGAGGGGAGGTCGTAGAGCTGTTTCTTCAAGAGCTGTGAAAGGAAGTGAGCGGGAAATACGAGCCTGCTCTGTAGCAGTCCACTTCTGACTGCTAGAAGAAACGTGTAAGAGTTCACAGATTAAAAAAAAAGGTAGAAAACTTTTAAGATTCTAGTTGTACAAAATGATTTTTTCCAGCTGCAATTCAAAAGCTTAGGGGAGAGGGGAGGTCGTAGAGCTGTTTCTTCAAGAGCTGTGAAAGGAAGTGAGCGGGAAATACGAGCCTGCTCTGTAGCAGTCCACTTCTGACTGCTAGAAGAAACGTGTAAGAGTTCACAGATTAAAAAAAAAGGTAGAAAACTTTTAAGATTCTAGTTGTACAAAATGATTTTATAGCCATGGATAGTTCACATTATACCTCCTTGTTTATGTTTTAAAGCTTCCTGTTTCTTTGATAGGGACTATTTTGCTTAGATCTTCCTCGACGTTTTGAGAGAGAAATGTCATTACTTAAAGTCAAACCTTATAAAGGTGTGATGTATTTAAATAACTTAGATTGTCCAAACCTACTTCAACTCCTGAGAGGATTGTCCTGTGTCCCATACACACAGTTTCACAGACCTTTTGGGCGCGAGGAGGGTGTTTTGGTCGAGGTTTACATGAAGATTATTTTCCCGAATCTTGTTTTTGTCTGTGCCATTATAAAACTGTATGTTTAGTGCCTTATCTGTTGTATGGTTACTACGTTGAACCTAAGTCACAGTCCGAGATCTGTGTATGTTTTGGTAGGTTTGTTTTCATAGTAGTTGTTTTGTAGCTTAATCCATAGGCTTTTTTTCTTTTGCTTAATTGTACACGCATGTTTTTGGAAAGTTTCTCCTTTGCAGCATTAGTAAGATGCTTTCAAGTGCTTTATAAATCCTTGTTAGTAATCAACAAACTTAATTTGTAACAGTTCAAAGTTTCGTTTTTCTATACATCAAGGATAAAGTGGCATGGAGTGCCGTCACTGTTGAGATGTCAAAAAAAAGAGGCATCTCTGAGTGCAGCCAGCTGACCGCTGAGCTGTGGGCTTACAGGGGGCTGGTGAATAAAAGCTTGAACATCTGGGCAGGTTTGCCCAGTAAAAGCAAATGTGGAGTACCAAACAACTGCCACTTCTGAGAGGGACTGAGTGGATTTTCGAGCTGCTAGTGTCGCAGGACTGGTGCATAGCGGTGCACCGCTTCTAAAAGGCTGGTTTATGCCAAGACTGCAAGTTGTGCTGTGAGCAGCAGCAGCACGTGGCTCTGCTTCCAGAGGGTCTCCGTCCTTTGTCCCCAGTGACACCCAAGGACAGCAGGATCTCCCAGCAGTGCTGCCGAGTTTGTGAAATGGCATCTGCACGGATGTTAAGGGCTGGTCTAGATGATCCTTGAGGTCCTTTCCAACCTGGTAATCCATCATTCTGTGATACTGCTGCCCACGCTTCCTGTGGCAGGGAACAGCAGTTCAGGTCTTCAGCCTGGCTACTGACTTATCTTTCCCAAAATACGGAGCAAGGTAGCCGCTGCCTTCACAAACTGTCGGGGGAACAGGGCTGGAAGGAGAGTGGTGGACAGACACAGCATGGTCATGCAAGTCCTGTAATGAAGGAGCTGCTTCGGGAAGTAAAAGCAGTTGGTTTGGACTTCTACTTTCTGCTCTTTGCAATGGGTAGTTGATAATGTGCCTGAGACTTTGTTTTCGTAGAATTGTAGAATAGTTTCAGCTGGAAGAGACCTTGAAGATCGAGTCCAGCCTTTGTCTCGGCCCTGTCCACGAAGCCCCTCAATGCACCATCCACCCCTGTCGTAAACACCTCCAGGGGCGGTGACTCAACCTCCTCCCTGGGCAGCCTGTGCCAATGGCTGACAACCCTTTCAGTACAGAAATTCTTCCTGATATCCAGCCTGAACCTCCCCTGTTGCAATTTAAATCCGTTTTCCCTTGTCCTGTCACTCTCCCCTAGGGAGAACAGACCAACCCCTGCCTCTCTACAACCTCCCTTCTGGTAGCTGTAGAGGGCAATGAGGACAGAAGGCTGGGGAGGTGTTGGTGGTGGGATGTGTGTATTTGTTGCTCAGGCCCTCCTCGACTCGCTGACAGTTACCCAGATGTGCGCTTAGATCTCTGGATGCAGGAAGTGGTAAAACAAGCAGTGAGTGCCCTGTTCTTGGAAGAGTTGCCTACAAGGAAAATGCTGCGGGGCTGGGGAGTGATGGGGCTGTAGATGAAGCAAGGAACAAGCATAAGAAAGCACAAGTCCCAGTCTGTGAGGGTTCCTGTGGGTATCCTGCCTGAAAAGTGGATTTATAATATAGGGGGGAATCGAGACTCAAATGGTGGAGTTTATCTACTGATGTGGGAGGCAATGGGCAAGCTTTGGTCAGAATTAGAGTGAATAAGAATACATTTCTGCTGCACATCTGGGATGGGAGTCTGTGCTGACTCGCATGCTGAGTAGAGATGGAGCATTACTGGGATCAGCTCTGTTCAGAAGCAGAGCAGTGCCCAGAGTCTTGTCTTTTTAGTTGTCTAAACAATTAGTGCTACAACTTCATGGCTGTTGGCCTCCCAGGTTTTGTTTTCTCATCCCTTCTCCTGGTGACTTGTGTTTTCTCCACAAATTTTAAGATTAAAGGATGTTTTATGCCTCTTGTGTACCATCACTCCAATCTGTAAGTGTTTACTGCCCTGGATGTTGTTAAGTTTAAAGGCCGTTGGGAAGAATTGGCAGAATGGTGAAAGTACCTGGAATGACAGCTGGGTATCAAGTGACTTGCTTAAGGGAGAGTTCGAGGTAGGAAGAACCCCAGGAGCCAAAGTATCAAAAGGATTGGTAGGAGGACTTCAGGAAATGGATTTTCTCCATCTCTATTGAATGGCTTCTTGTGACATGCGGGCATCCACACGGTTCCTGAAACTTAACTTTTGCAGAGGCTGTGGGGTGAGGTGGAGAATAACACTGCTATTGGAGAGTTGCGGCTGAGGGTGAGCATGGGGGTGCGTCTTGGCGGGGTCACTTTGCAAAGTCCTGGCTTCTGTTGCCCTCTCCACAAAACATGACTTGGGCAAAAAGCGGTGCTGGGTCCCATGCCAGCTGGCCAGCAGGTGCTGCTGCGGGAAGGCAGTAGTTTCGTTCTGCAGCAGCTGATCTGAAAAGCAAGTGCTCGGTGCTTCACTTTGCTTTGCACTGTGGGTGCCTTGATACCTACGATGTCTCATGTATTCTTGAGTCCTCTGGGAGTCTCAGTTCATAATGATCTGGTGTCCTCACCACTAATGACACGTGAAACGAAGTGACAGGATATTAGACTATGATCTCTTTTCCCTGTGTCTTCTGTGAGGACAGGAGCTTTCCAGAAAAGATACAGCTAGCCAGAGCTAGTGACAAGTTTATACGGTTTCAAATGCGGAATTGACTGAAGCCTTTCTAATTTAAAATTTTCAGTTGCAAGATATTCAAGCACCACCTTTTTTTGTTGGAAGAATAGAGCCTGATTATCTGTAATAGCACTATTTATTCCCTCTATCTTGTTTGTCTTGCGTCTTTGTCCCATTAGCCAAATCTTGCTGACTGAGGAGTGTGACTTTCTGTGTAAAGACGTTTGTGAGAGGAGAGAGGTAATACTGTACTCATCCATAGGGCCTGGATTTAGCCAGGCTAAGTGTGGTAATCAAGACAGGACCGAAAATAACCGTAAGGTCCCTGGGCAGTCAGTGGGGAGAGGCAGGCATCTCCTAAACGCTTCCCCTGGTGATAGAGACAAGGACAGCCGTATTCCTAACCTCAAGCATATGTGAGTCCTGTTACTTCCTGCCTACCTATTTCTGGTCCCACCTGCTGCTCGACGTGGGTTCACTGCAGAGTTCACATCCTGTTGCTCAGGACTTTCTCCAGTCGTGTCTGGACAAGCTGGAGAAGTGGGTTAGTGTGAACCTCGGGATGTTCGACAGGGTCAAGTGCCAGGGCCTGCGCCTGGGCTGAGACAACCCCCGATGTCAGTACAGGCTGGGGGGTGAAGGGCTGGAGAGCAGCCCTAAGGTGTGAGCCAGGAGCACTTGCTCACGGCCCAGAAGGTTACAGTGCCCTGACATGCAATCGAGAGCAGCGTGCCCATCAGGCTGAGGGATTTGAGTAGCCTGATCTAGTTGAGAGGCGTCCCTGCCGATGACAGGGAGGTTGGACTAGATGATCTCTAAGGTCCCTTCCAGCCTAGGCCAGTCTAGGATTCTGTGATTTGATTCTGTCCCTCTGCTCTGGTGAGATCTCGCTTGGACTACCCTGTCCAGCTCTGGGGTCCTCAGCACAAGAAAGACATGGACCCGTTGGAGCGGATCCAGAGGAGGCCACAAAAACGATCAAAGGACTGGAGCACCTCTGCTGTGAAGAAAGGCTGAGAATGTCGTGGTTGTTCAGCCTGGAGAAGACTCTGGGCAGACCTTGTAACAGCCTTCGAGTGCTTAAAGGGAGCCTGCAAGAAAGATGGGGACAGCCTTTTTAGCAGGGCCTGTAGCGACAGGGCAAGGATAGATTTAGACTAGACTCAAGGAAGAAATTTCTTACGCCAAGGATGGTGAAACACTGGCACAGATTGCCCAGAGAGCAATCTGTGGCAGGGGGGGCAGCACTCTGTGGCAGGTGTCCCATCCCCAGAAACATTCAGGGCCAGGTTAGATGGAGCTCTGAGCAACCTGATCTAGTGCGAGATGTCCCTGCTCACTGCAGGGGGGTTGGACTACACGGCCTGTCAAGGTTGCCTCTGTCCCAAACCATTCTGTGATTCCATGAAGGCTGCACAGCCTTGCTGGGCCCCTCTTCCGCTGCTTGACTGTCCTCTTGAGGAAAAAATACCTGTCCCGTACTCAGCCAGACCTCCTTGTTCCAGCTGATGACCATTGCCCCTCATCTCCTGGCTGTGCTCCTCAACAGGTGCCTTTGGGCTGCTTGGTAACCTGTGAGGCTGCTGTTGTGTCCCCCCAAGGTTTTCTGTTGCCCGGGCTGAACAAGCGTGTTTCTCTCAGCTGCGTCTCACAAATTATCTGTTGAAACATCGTGGTGGTCCCTCTGGACTTGCTCAGGCACGTTGACAACCTTCTTTTGGTGGGAGTCCAAAACTGGAAGGGGAATCCAAATGTGGTCTGGGAAGTGCTGGGTAAAAGGGGATTAACAGTGTCCTTTTGTTTCCTGACTGCGCTCTTGATGTGCAGTTTGCTTTTCACAGGGACTTCCAGCGTAGCAGAGGAGCTCCCCAGCCAGTCCTTAGAGCACTGTGCGCTGACTCTACCAGCAGATGATTGATAAAGTCCCAGGCATCTCAGCAGTGCTGCTGGCAGGCGCTTAGGCAGCAGAAACCCACCTGAAAGCAGACAGCGGTGTAAATGGACTTGGTTAAAATGGGAGCTTAGCCTCGAGCACAGGCCCTGTGGGGTGCTGCAGGTGGCTTTGTGTACTAAAGCAGTAGCAAACCTGAGTACTGAGCGTAGCCAGCTACCTGGAATTAACTTCTTTGGCATGTGATTTGTGAAATTTCAAAAGGCATTTGAGGTCGTTAAGGCCCAGCATCACAGCAAGCACCAAAAAGTGAGATCAAGTGAAGCGTAGTTCGGGGTCTTTTTTTCTTAGGGGCTGAACTTGCTCGCAGACACACTTGAGGCAGTTCTGTTAGCTTGCCAAAATGTATCTGGAGACTAGCCACTGGCCAAAAAGAAACCACCTGTAGAAGCTATAAATGAGCTCAAAAACTTCGGGCTAGCAATGCTTGTGCTGCTTTTTGCTCTAGTATAAGACCAGAAACATCCAGCTCAGATTCCTCGGGGTTATTACCAGGTGTACAATTCTGATTACTTATGTGTCTGGGGAATTCTACAAACAGGACGTTTAATTTGGTCCAATTTTGAAGCTAGTCTTTCATAAAGCAGGTGCTGAGCTTTGTGAGTGTCTGTCTTGTAGTACTTAGGGGGGATCTGAGCCAGCAAATAATAATCTTACAAGCCTTTATCAGAGGGAAACGTAAACTGTCTTTAAATATTTGTGTCTTTACTTAGAGGCAGTAGGAAATGTGTGAGAGTTTTAAATGAAGGTTTGCTGAGGTCAGGTCCTGGGCTGCGTCCTGTCTGGCTTTGCAGAGTCATGCCCCGAATCTGTAAAGAAGTGATTGTTTCCTCATCAGAACAGACAGGCAGTTCTGCCATTCCACATCATGCAGCAGAGAGGAGTGTGAATTAATGATGGGACTTATGCTTTTGATAATTATTAAAGTGATTGCAATGGTGTTTCAGATCCCAAAGAAGAGAAGGAAGAGGAGGAGGTTGCCGGTGTCCTCAGCCATGACTCTCCTGTCAGCACAGCCAGGCCCAGCAGAAGTTGGCGGAGCAGCAGGTCAGCCACCGCCGCCCGCCAGCGTGACACTGAGAATTCACGGGCCTCCAGATCCAAGACTGGCTCCCTGCAGCTCGTCTGCAAGTCAGAGCCAAACACAGACCAGCTTGAATACGGTACGTGGGAAGCCCTGGCATGAAAGTGCCTGGAGACAGTCAGGTCCTGGGAACCTTTGAAGGGAGCTGGATGTGGGCGTAGCTTTGTGAGCTATATGGAGACTGTGGCTGGTGCAGGTGTGGTGCTTCTTGGTCATGAGTAACTTCTGCCACCAGCACGCCTGGCACTGAATGTCGACGGAGGTATCTTGAGGCAGATGAGCTCACTGCAGCGAACACAGATTGAAACCTAATGGTGACTTTTCCTTTCAGTGGTCACAGAAGAGCATCACTCTCCAGCTGGGATCGGGTAGGAAATTCTTTATTTTTTGGTATTTCTTCCTATGTTTTGTGTTTCTTCCTATTTAGTGTCTCAAGAAGGGGAAATAAGGGCCTGGGTTTGGGGGTGTTTTTTTGTTGTTTTGTTTTCTCAAAATGTTTCTGTGAAGTGATCTATGGGAGGGATAGTAGCTGTTTTCATTCAGTCCTAGACCTTTGCATTTTCAGTCCGGACTGCAGATGGACTACAGATATCAGGAGATATTGTGGAGAAATGGATAGTGAGATTTGGTCTGGGCGTTTCACCTGGTAGCTTTATTCCTTCAGGAGCAGGTGCTGTAGTTAGGCGGGCTCTGAAGAGGAGACTGCTCTGCATAGCCTGTCTCTTCTGAACGTCACTGTGCTCCTCAGCCAGTGCAAGCTGGTTCTCCTGCTGCATGAGAAAGCGCTATGTAACAGCATCTTTCTCACCCTAGGGGATGACACCTGAGTGTTTCTGGCAGTAGTGCTTAAGCTGTTCCTCTGTTCGTCTTTTCTCCTAGCAGTGATGATGATGAGGAGATGCTCATCAGCGAGGAAGAAGTTCCCTTCAAAGATGATCCAAGAGATGAAACTTACAGGCCCCACCTAGAGAAGTATGTTGGATTATGCACTTGATGTGCATTTAGAGAAAAAAAAAAAAAAGTGGCATCTTAGTTGAATGAGCTTAATTCTACCCAAAGAAAACCTGTGCTAGTAGCTAAGGTGGAATAGCTTCCACTGGGCACAGTGCTTTCCATACATTGTCTACAGCTATTGTGACAGTTCTTTAGCAGACAAGCCCTTGGAGCCCTGCTGGCTGTCAGCTTCTTCCTTAATCCGTGTTAATACTCAAGTGGGGCTTTATAAACAGACCTGAACTTCGATCCAGTTTTTGCCTAAATCTTTGTAAAAAGTAGACAAGAGGAAGAGTACTGGAGTAATATGTTATGTGTGTATCTTTGTAGAGAAGCACCAAAGCAGAGGAGGAAAGCTAGCAAGGGGAAGGAGGAAAAAGAGAAACAGAAGGAGATTAAAGTAGAAGTGAAAGAAGAGAGTGAGTTTCAGGAAGATGAAGAACCGCCGAGGAAGTGAGTAAAACTCTGCAGTTATACTTAGCAGTGTGTTGTATATTTTTGCATTTTTGCTAGTGTACAGCATTGCTTTGTTGTTGTTGGCTTCTCCCTCCAGAACCTTTTGTTCTGGTAGAAGCCCTGCTTCCTAGTAGCTTGCACGTGTTCGGCAAGGAAACATAGAAGAGTTGGTATTTTGACTTACTTTAACTTGAGGGATTTTTCTCCATACTGGGGTTTAGTCGGCCTGCCTGGATATGGTCACAGGATGCAAAATACTTCAGAGCATTCTTAAAATCTGTTCTGTTGTGATGTCTGAAGTGGATTAGACTGTATTAGAAAGCCAGTCTGAGAGGGCAGCATCTCTTCTGTTGTGTGCTTAGGGGCAGACACAGGAATACTTCGTATGTGTCCTGTGGTGAGTGTCTGCTTTGTGCATTTAGGACTAATGTACCAGAGCTCAGGAAAACCAGCTGTGTTCTCCTGCCTTTTGGAGAAATGAAAAACTTCTGCTACCTCGTCAGTCCCAAGTGCTTTGAGTGGAGACTCAAAACGTTTGGGTATGCTGTCACTGGAACTGAACACCAAAGCTTTCCTTCTGGCACCTGAAGTGGAATCGATTTATGTGTCTGTCGAAACCATTCTTTGGGATAGTATGAGGGGAGGCAAAAAGGACATTTTTCCTGCTTTGGCTTTTCTGTGAGCAATTGGAACAAATGGGGCTCCCTCTGCTGGTCTGTGGTGTGGGGCTCTGCACACCTTTGCTTTAGTTTCTCCTGCCGTTTCTAAGCTGCTGCACAGCTGATTTATGTTGGAGAGGCGTAAGGGTGCGGACGTTTTGAGAACTTTTTTCTCTCTGTTAGAGATGGCTTTCTGAGGCTTGTGGGTGCCTTGTTTGGATCAGGTGCTACTTTTGTGCGTAAGAAAACCTGTGCCTCTTCTGAAGGCCTGACTTAAAGGCTGAGTGCCTGTTCGGCATGTTACTGGCGCGGTCTTGCTATCAATAAAGATGTCTCAGTGTGGTCTAGAAAACACTTCCATCAGTCTGCTGTAAGCGTGTCTGCAGCAGCGTGGTCAAGCACAATGTTCTAGGCAGAGTTATGGCTTGGGAAGGTGCATCTTGCATGGAAGCAGGGATCTCCTCAGAGTATAGATTATTTTTTTTGTTTTGACAGGTGTATAAGCTGCTGTAGTTAATTCAGAGAACTGTAAGATAGCTGCTAGATCCTTAATCTCGTTCCTCCTAGTCATGCAGATTGATGGGTTTTGCGTGGTATGAAACAGTACCTAACAGAGCAGAAGAAACGGGGTGCACCAGCAGTTCTGGACTGTGTTGGCAAAATTACATATTTATAAAAAATGCATTAGGAAATGGGAGGGGTTGTGAGAAAAAAAAACACATGAAGCATTTCTTTCTCAAGAATGTTGCTTTCCTCTGAATCTGCCTCCAATTTGCACTTGGTTATTTTTTTCTAGAGCTCGCGCTTAATGATGTGATGGTTTGCTAACTGTCTGCAGCAGGCACTTACAAGAGCAGAATCTTGTGTGCTGATGTGCAGCCTGGAAAAGGATGCATTTGATTGTGAGGTCACAAGGTTGTTTGGACAGTTGCAGGTTAAAAAGAAAAAACGTGAAATGTGTGGTGCCGGGTCGAGGGTTTTGTTTTTTTAAGTAGCCCTCCCTCACTTAGTAGTGGTAGAAGAATTGGTAATTTTTAATGACAGCCTGTTGGGCTGTGGGGGCGGATACCTCTTCACTGGTATCTGCACGGTTGTGAATGGTGGGCTGAGACGCATTTGAGCTAGTCAGCCGTGCTCAGAAATGTGTTGTACGCTAGGCTTAGGTAGCCGTGCAGCTGCAGGGTCTGTTGGCTGAGGCAGGGCGATTTGAGGTCTGTCGCATGTCACCAAATGTCAAGCAGAAGAAAAGCATCACTCGAGTATCAGAAACATGGGGACCACAGCTCCCCAGGGAGCAATCTTCTGTGTGGAGTCACAGTTCTGCGAAACGCAGAGACAATTTGTATGGAGACCTGGATACTTAACTTCTTCAGGGAACCTGCCCACCTGTTACAGAAGCGTTTCCTTAGAAATTCTTCAGGCATTTTGATGCAGAGCAGGTGGCCGACTTGCCAAAGCATCTGACTCGCTGCGTGCAGTGTTACTTTGCAACCTGAAAGCGCAGAAGAGTTCTGCAGTATTTCGTAGAGCATGCTCCTGCTTTATATCATACAGGCTAAACACAGACAGAAGTGTATCTGGGGCTAAACTAGAGCAGTTGCTCTGTGACCCAGTGAACCCTCCCAAGCAGAGAAAGGGGATCTGCAGCATGAGAGGAGACCCATGGGTTGAGATGAAAACAGATTTAATGCAATGGCAAAAATAACATTACTGCTAAAGCCAGTAGGCAGTGTACAAAGTTACACTCGGCCCAGTGAACTACAGCAGTTGCCATAAAAGGGTGAGCAGCCCTTAGGAGCACAGTGGTAAGGGGGCCCCTCCAGGAATGGAGGAAAGCAGGAGGAGAAGGAAGAGGAGGAGCAGGGAGAGCCCCTGTCCTCAGCAAAACTTTCCCCTTTCTAATGAGTGTGAAGTTCGTGGGACGGGATATCCTTGTTGGCCCACTCAGCCTGGCTGCCCTGGCTTGTGCCCCTCCTGGCTCAAGCTCCTGGGTGATTCAGAGCTGCTAGTGGCCTGCACGCCGTGGCTGGCCTATCCCCATGAAGCCAGGACAGCTTCAAAAAAATCTGTCAGTGTAAAGAAGCTTCTTTCAATTCTGTTTCTGTGACCCTGTTACAGGAGGGGAAGGAGGAGAAAGGATGACAAAAGCCCAAGGCTGCCCAAGAGAAGGTAAGTGAGCTCTTCCTCTCAGTTCTACTCTGAAGACTTGCTTCCCTTGCATCTTATACGAAGATGTCGATTGTCTCAAAGCGATCTCTTTTGCACAGTATAGAAATCTTCCTTAAAGGGAAAAAAAAAAAAAAAAGCAGCATGCCTTGATTTCTCTTCTTTCCTTCCTTCTTTTCCCTGTAGCTGTGAGTTTGATTTCTTCCAGCTGAACCAGCCCCTTGCCTCTCTTCCTACTTCTGAGTTGATCCCTAGCCTGGCATCACCTAGCAATAAGGTTCTGGGAACTTTGTGGATCCTGGAGATTTCTCAGCTCTGGGGAGAGCCCCTGAGTAGTGCTGAGGGTGGAGGGAACCCTTGGACAGAGTCTCCGTAGCCCAGGCAGGACTATCGGAGGAGAAAACCTTTGTTCTCACATCAGCAAACTGCATTTCACTCGTTTGTCTTGCTGCTGCCCTGGCTTCAGATGCATCATCTAACCACTCTGCCCATTCCCTTACTGACTTCTTAGGAAGAAGCCTCCGATACAGTATGTCCGCTGCGAGATGGAAGGCTGCGGCACAGTCCTGGCTCACCCACGTTACCTGCAGGTCGGTTGACAGTTTTCACTTCCTGAACGGCACGTGTGAGGGCAGGGCCGTTTGGAACAGGCAGCTAATCCTCCACTGGCACTGAAGCTCTCCTTTCCAATGCCACCTCTTTGGTAGACAATCAGTTGTAGCCACTTTTGTCTGTCCTGTTGCTAGATGTCCCTGTTTGTGTGGCTTTCTTCTCTCAATGGAGATCAAGGTCTTTGTGTTCATGGTGTAAGGGTGTCTTGTCAGTGACTGGAGTCTGGTGGCATGCTGAGGGGCCATCTGGGATGGATGTGTCTCAGCTGTTCTCTTAGCCATGTGAAGGGAGAGTCTACAACCTTCTACTCTTCCTTTACAGCATCACATAAAGTACCAGCACTTGCTGAAGAAAAAATACGTGTGTCCTCATCCCTCCTGTGGTCGGCCACAGCTCCTGCGGCACGCCAAACACCACACAGGTACAGGGAGGTGGGAAATAGATACAAACTTCTCCTCTAGTCAGTGAACAGGGCAGGGGAGAAAAATGGAAAAGCCTCTAGGACTTCTGGGGAGAGTGAAGCCAAGACAAGCAGCGTAGACTTGCAGCAGTAGCGGGGTGTTATTTCCTTCTAGATTACCATCTTTCAAAGAAACTAAATAAACAAGATACAGAGTTTACCCTCTGGCAAAAATCACGCCTAGGTTCTGTAGAGGTATAAACCAATCAAAACTTTATCCCAATTTGCCTGTCCTTCAGTATTGGTCAGAATGGATAATTAGCTCTTAGGAGAGTCTTAATCATTCCTTAACTCTCCAGATCAGCTGTGGTGTGTTGTGGAACACCTCCTCCTTTGCTGTGCGTGCTCATTTCCTGGTACTTCTAGTTCTTCTGCTTCTTGAACAGCTTTACCTGCAACATGTGAGAGTTGGGGAAGGGAGCAAGTTACGGGAGAGTAATGCTCCAACTGGTGTTGCTTTTTTAGATCAAAGGGATTACATCTGTGAGTACTGTGCCCGGGCGTTTAAGAGTTCTCATAACTTGGCAGTTCATCGAATGATCCATACAGGCGAGAAGCCCTTGCAGTGAGTACCTCTGCCTGTCTTTTGCTCTCCTATTTTGAGGGACCCCTGGACACACCTGTTCTTGGACTGCACTGAGAGCAGGGACAGCTCTGAAGAGGGCTGGAACCCGTTCTTGGTGTCTCACCTCTTTTTAAGCACACAGTTGTAGGGAGTGTTTGATGTACCCCTTCTCTGCTGCTCCTTGAGGCAGCATGTCAGCAGAGGTCTGAGGAGCTTAAGCTGTCTGCAAATAAAACTGGAAGAGCTGCAGTGAGCCCTTGCTCTTTTCCTCGGCTGCCTCTTTTCTACTGCTGTCCCTATCAGTGTGTGTGCCTCTTTGTTATGATCTCCCCCTTCTCCCCTCCCAGGTGTGAGATCTGTGGATTCACCTGCCGGCAAAAGGCTTCTCTCAACTGGCACATGAAGAAGCACGACGCGGACTCCTTCTACCAGTTCTCCTGCAACATTTGCGGCAAGAAATTTGAGAAGAAAGACAGTGTCGTGGCCCACAAGGCCAAGAGCCATCCCGAAGTGCTTATTGCTGAAGCACTGGCTGCCAATGCGGGTGCCCTGATCACCAGCACCGACATCCTGGGCACTAATGCTGAGGCCATTGTGCCACCCACCGATGGCCAGGGCCTTCCTCTTCTTCC